AATGACGATTTTTATTTTAATCACATGATGGTATCTGTAAAAACAGCAAAAGTGAAATCACATTATGACCTACAACACAATTCATTCTGAGACAACACTGAAGTTAAATTTAACACTAACTAGCTTTTGTCAAACACACATTAAAAATGACTGAATATAAATGTAGACAGCAATATAACGCTGACATTACTTTGAAAAGTCTTTATTCAGTTTAACAGACAAAAAAATAAACTATTAAATTAAACTAATTGGCTATAAAGTGAATCCTTGTAGGAGGGCCCATGCACTCAAAGGGAAGGTTTGTCCCAGATAATATCACAACTCCCCACACATGCAGTATTTGCTATTTTACTGTCATCTATGGACATTGAAAACAATACAACACTGTCAGTCCTCCACATTGACCTCTCTTACCCACATTATGGAGTTTGATGTTAGCTAGTTAGCCTAGCTAACTTAATGTACGAGCACATTTGAGCTAACGTTAGCTTTCAACTCGATCAGGTTAGCCCTCTGCTATTCGGTATTTCAAGACACAAAAACAACTGTGTGTTGAACAACAATATTAAGTTATTCGAATTATTCTTTTCTGCTGAAATGCCAAAATTTGGTTTCATACGTGATTTAGAGAAACTTACCAGTCTGTCGAGAAGTGCATAATGGCGGCACGGTGAAACTCCTGATCCGTTTGAAAGGAGGAGGGGGGCGGAGCTTACCAGAGTACAGAGTACTTTCCAGAGAACACTTGTCGCAGTGAACAATGACATCAACACTGGGGGACGTTTTACTCTTGCTGTTGTTGTAATAACTCTGAAATAGTCAATGCACTTTGACACTGTATATTATACGCTGAAAAGTTTAACTCTGATTATTTTCACCAACACTGGCCGATAAATTGGTAGTAATTACTCTTGCCGTTGTTGTAATAACTCTGAAAGAGTCCATATACTTTGACAATGCATATTTGACACTGGGGAATTTACTGTGTAGATGGGCATTTAGCACATTTCACATTAATTATTTATTATTATGATTAATTTGACTTTCGCACCAGAGACAGGAGCAGCTGTTCCATCTGAGACCAACAAGTAATGTTGCCTTTATTTTCCCCTAACTTAACAAACAGAACTGAAAGTGATAACCATGATCAGGGGTCGGCAACCTTTTCTATCCAAAGAGCCATTTTCGCTGTTTTTCGCTCCTCTCCAGCGTGACACTTTTCAGCACATGCTGTGTGCTTGTTCTGGAAGCATAGAGGTAAGTCAGCATCATTGGCAGTGAAAGCAAATGAAGACGTCCACGCAGAGTTAAACTCTCTATTTTCCTCCGTGACTTTTCTTTCTTTGGATTTATCCATTGATAGTTTACAGAGGGCGGGGGTCTGAAAATCATGATTAGCCACCTGCAGGGAAAAGCGCTTGACAGAGGTAGAGGATTTAACTGCCTGTGGGAATAATTAACATATAAGATTCTGTTCATTCTTGCTTATAAATTATATTCTCTCTGAACACATTTCTCTTTTTGGAGAACGTCATGTGAGATATCTTCTTCGATTAGTGCAATTTCCCTGCTCTTCTTTCTATTTCCTCGTCTCAGCCCCATGTGTCACGTGTGTGTAAACCTCGCTTGAGTCAGGAAACTTGTCCGAATACCCATATTTGATTGGCTGAGCTGCATCACCTGATGTGATTTGCAATGCATTGGTCAGTGTGTTTCCTGCACCGCCGAACAAGTGCCGTAACGGCTGAATAAGAGGCGCCGGTTAAAGTTTAAACTCAGGTGTCTAATATGTATAATTCCAAATGATTTATCGGATTTAGGTCCTTGGTCCGGATCCGGTCAGCCAGTTGGGGACCCCTGATGTAGACTTAAGGAGCCGCAACAGAGGGGCTGAAGAGTCGCAGGTTGCCGACCCCTGACCATGATCTTAAACCCTTAACCAAATACTAGCTACACTATAGCTGCTATGAAGGAATTTGTGTAGACATAAATAGAAACAACGTTGGCATTGAATGTTCATGTAGGTTGTCACTGAACGTGGTTCCAGAGTTTTGTAGAATAATATCAAAGTAGAAAATACATCCAGGTTTCAGTTGGAAACAAACTACAGGACTATGATCAGATCAGAATTCCAGTTGTAAACATGTGTGGCAAAATATCTAAACTCCTGTGTGCTACAATATGATGTTATTCATTGCGACATTTCATTTACGCTGACCTGCTCTGTTTAGCACAGACCAGTCCAGACTCACCATGATCATAGAAATCATTTGTCAGGCAATATCAGTGTCAGCCTATACATGCAGTGTGCAGTGGTGTCCTGGTTGGGCATGGACAATTGTTTCCTCTCTGTTTTTGACTCCTCAGCAGAAAACAGCAGGAAGCACACGCGCACGCGCACGCACACACACACACACACACACACACACACACACATAGGTAGGCAGGCTGCGGTGAGGATTCAGCCTTAATAAGCCATTTCCAGTGGAGCAGAGCTGCAGCAGTCCTGTCATGGGCCTCTGGCTGAGCCCTCAGAGCCGCCTAACATTTATTTAACCTCCAGCTAGCTGCAGCCCTCTCATCACTGCATGCTCACTGATTCACTGTCTGATGGCCTGGTTGTGTGGATTCAAAGCTAAATACTGGACAATACAAAGAGCATCATTGCATATGGAAAAATAAACATGTTAATGGTCACATTAAAGTAACACAGAAATATGATTACAACAGCACATAAACACATGGTTCAAGTAACTACAAATCAGAACAGAGAGGTAGACTTTTGGTTCCTAGTTTTGTATCCTATATAGGGAAGCCTTTTACAGTGCCGCTGAACATATTTGGGTGGCTGCCAGCTCCCAGTGGGTGGGCGTGGCTTTTGACTGGAAAACATTGTGCCTGCAGGGATCACTAAATAGCCTCTTTGTATGTCTTGAATACGTGATGTCGTGACAAAGGTGAGAGTTTTAGTGTGATTTGGATGTCAGCGGGAGCTCTTCAATATTTCAGACCATGTGTGGATGAGGGTTCTTTATTAAGTCCTGTAGAGACACACCAAAAAAGAAAACTGTCAGAAAGCCTGGCTGCAAACAGCTCATGGTGGTTATAGTCTTTTATTGCATTTGAGCCAGGCGGCAACCTCAGATTCTGCCAAGTGAAGCCAATGCGAAAGTGTCTTAAAACTTGCATTCTCTCTACTGACCAGCAGGGGGCGACTCCTCTGTTTGTATAGAAGTCTATGAGAAAATGACTACTTCTCTCTTGATTTATTACCTCAGTAAACATTGTAAACATGAGTTTATGGTCTCAATCTCTAGTTTCAAGTCTTCTTCAATACAGCATGATGTTCATTTAGTAAATTATGGTACATTTAGAGTCAAATAGACCTTAAAGAGGAGTATGCTTTAGGTGGGGCTACTGTGATTGACAGGTCGCTGCTGCTACCAGAACTGTATCCGGCGTCTCTACATCACTCCTCCGCATTCCAAATATGGCAACTTCCGTTCATTGGTTGCGGGGAAAAAACCAAGATGGCGACGGCAAAATGATCAAACTCGAGGCTTCAAAACGGCAGTCGGGGAAGTCATGAAGTTTGACATGAATAGACCTAACTGTTGAATAGTCTCAAGAATTTTTAAGTACTCACACAAGAGCACTCACACTATTTTTTGCACATTATGTCTATAACATCGTGTCCTTGCGAGTGACACAGCACCGCGTAGGGCAAGGTTTTGAACTGAACTTTTGTCGGACGCCCCATCTTTATTTATTCCTGTTGCTCGCTTTGAAAGCGTCACAATGGACGGCTAATTGGTCTGATCTAGAGCTCACAGCTGACAGCTACGTGGTTTGTTTACATGACGTAACATTACACTTGCTGTTAGTGTCTCTGCGGCCAGGTTCTCTGACATCATTACGGTTCTTGTTGAATTATTCCTCGTTCAGATTGACCTGAGGTTGAATAGCCCTAATCATCATTTCAGTTATCAGCTGCACCCCTGGTAGACATCGGGTGCTAAATAATCCTTTGACATGCTGACATTTGATGTTTTCAGATTAGTAATTTCGTTAGTGTTTCAGCCCTTAGCTGCAAATTGTGGGGCGATTGTTTTACAGTATGACACATTGCGCTCTTTCTGCTTTGATGTGATGACAAGTGAGAAGCAAAATCAGAGATGTTGTGGAGAACTTAATTCACTGTGATGACTTCTTTTTTTATTTGACTTTTATTGCAAGACAAGAGACAATACATAAACATAACAACAAGAGGACGACAAGAACAGTGAGATACAAGCCAGCAAACATCATATAGTCAGTGTGTGGGAGAATAGTGTGATTTCATGATGACTTCTGTCTCATATATTAGCTTTTTTTCATAGTTTTTTGGAGGAAATGGAATTCTGAAATACATACTGTACACATCTTGAGTTTAGTAATAAGAAGAAGAAAAGAAGATGCAAACATTAAAACACAGACTGACATTAATAAAACATCTTTTTAGAAAGATGTTTTAAGAAGCGATTTTAAAAGATGTCCGATTCTGCAGCCTCAGACATGAGGGGCCCTCAATGCAGAGCCTTAGTCTTAAACTGGGACAATTATATGTGTTATATGAATCATTTTTGTCAAATGGAATATGTTATGTTGTTTTAATTGATTCAGTGGTATTGAACTACTGTACACTCTACAAAAGTTGAGTATACTTAAAAAGGTTAAGTAACCAGCTGCACAGCTTTTTTGAGTATACTCAACTAAGGGCTAATGGGTTGTGTCAACTTAGGATAAGAAGTTAACGCAAAGTGCTATTTTAAGTTTGTCAAACTTAACATTACTATTCAGACCTACTTATGTACTTAAATTAACGTAACTTAAAATATTGAGTTTGATCCTCACGTCTACTCATGTACTTAAGTAAAGAACACTTGAAATATCAAGTTGGAGAAACTTGAAATTGTGTGTTCTTATAGATTGAAAACATAACATTAACAGCACTGCCCATTTTATGTTGAGTATACTCAAAAAAGCTGTGCAGCTGGTTACTTAACCTTTTTAAGTATACTCAACTTTTCTTTTTTACAGCCTTCATTTTTAATTAATTAGAAATGTACACTGTTAAATAAAAGAAAAACATCTTAAAACACAAAATGTTTAATAACAATAAGTTATTTGCTTGCAAAACAATATTGTCTTTCAATTTCAACACTTGAACAGTAGACAGCAGGGGTCAACATCCTTATAATCTCTACTTCACGCCATTTTAAACCCAAAGACACGGACTAAAGTTCCCTCCTAATACTCGGTCAAAACAAAAATAAATGCGTCTGCATGGCGCTATGTGGCAGTAACAACAATAAACTAAAATTAATATTAAATTATAATACACCTAAAGTGCAGGACCAGCAGTGGATATTTCAGCTGTAATATTCAAAGTAGTAAGGCAAATAATAAACTTGTTAAACATCTAATACTTAAGGGTGTTGACCAATTTGGTCAACTCATACCATCGGCATTTGGTCAAGTTGGTGACATTTCAGTCCCTCATGAAAATCCAGCCAAGACCATAGGCGTGGTTTAGATATGGCAGGCTACTTCAGCAAACTGTTCTTTAAGGCCTGAACCCGGGTAGAGCACTGGGTATCAAGGTTCATGAACAACTTTTGAATTACTTCAAAAATGTGTACCGTAAGTCCTTCGGATAGTCCAGGTTAAGAGCCTAGATGAGCCCAAACAAAAGGGCAAATGCGGTTGGGAAGTCGCATACATCCTCCAGGACAATCCGTTCCTCAATATCCAGCGCGATGCTTATTGTTGTTGGACTTGAGCAGACCATCCCAACGCCATCTTCAACAACTGAGTATTCCAAGTTCAACTCCCTTGACACAAAATTCCTCCGGGTCTGTATTTTAAAGAAAAACAAGCATATAGAGACTTTCATAAATATTCACCCCCTCTTTAAAGTTCTCTTTTTTTTCTCCTTCCCATTCTGTAACCATACATTTGAAAAGTCCAAATACATTTTTGGTTGGTAAATTTTCTGCAGATTTTAAAAACTAAAATATACCACTTTCATACCTTATTCACCCCCTACACATTTGCATTATAGTATTTGAATATTTAAATATTCATACTCTGAATGTCGTGTCTTGTCATTAAATAAATAGAGCAGAATACAGGGAAACATTTGCTCTCACTGTACAGGCTTCCTTCGATTCAATAAGTGACAAAAACCTGAAGGAACTGGAGCAAATCTGCCATTAAACAATGGACAAAATCACTCCAAATCTGCCAGATTCTTACCCTAAAGACATGTAGCGGCAAAGGGTGCTAATGGTGTGTAGGGGCTTTTTTAGTTTTATTTTCTTAAAAAGATTAGCTAACCAAAAAGGTATTTTGACTTTGAAAATGCACTGACAGAGAATGACTTTACAATTAAAAATACTGCAAAATATGTACATGCATCATTTTTAAGTCAGAAAAAATCTTCAACAGGTCTAAATACTTTCTGAATGCACTGTATACGAGGTCTCAAAACCCATGACTAATTTGGGCTTGGAATTATAAATGTTACCAGTAAATTTGAAGGAGAATTGCTGTTACAAAATGCATGTGATGCAGGCACCACACTCGTATGTAACCTTGATGCTACAGTAATATTGCCAGTATTGGCGATATCACATGAAATGAAATGTTAAAAACTGTAAAGTTACACTTATTAAACTATTTAGGTGGAATAACAAAGTAACAGTGAAGTAGAAATGAGGGTTTGATGAAAGTTTGCATTAGTGTTTTCTTGCTCAATGTGCAACCTTAATGACATTGACACATTAGTCTTACCAGATATTTCTTCAGAAAGCTGTCCGGCTTCTGCATCAAAGAACGGTAGACCCCATAGAGCTGTAGACTTTCTGTGGGCAAGCACATCAGTTGTCTGAAAGATACAAAATGAAGATTAAAATTGTATATATTTATAATAATTATAATTCAAAAAATTCAATGCAAACTATAAAAGACAAAGGCATTTGGCAAAATGCTTCCAGCATTGTAGCATGCATTTCAGGTCGGCTGTATTCACTAACTAAATGAACCCATATTTTACCACTGTACATATGGGCATCATGTTTTTGGACATAGCTTAAGGGTGAAAACACAATAACGCTCTCTTGCTTTTCATCTCCGAAATCACCAATTTGAAATGTCAATTAAGTCAAACAATACAATACACCTGTGAACATTAACGTGTATTCATATTTATTTTGTTAGACAAACTGGAATATTAAAGGGTGATCTGATGGTAAATGCTCTGCTCCAATGTTATGGTTTGCATAGTTGTCCGTTTTATAATTGATGTCTTGTGTCGGACTAAATAATTGTGAAAATGCCCCTCGTCTGTCCCCCAGTTTTTGGTCCCAGTTCAAATCTAATTGAGGACCCCTGCTATACCACATGCACTTCCTACTTATTGATTACCTGTTCATCAATGTTGTCTAGAAGGATCCTCATTTCTTTTCCAAGTGTTCCGCAGCGTGATCTGTACAGCTTAATAAGCTGCGATGAGTGTGCATCCAATGATGACAGGAAGATCCTCTTCAGCTCCACTCGAGTAATTCTGTAGAACTCTGCACAAAACAGTTTGCATGTAAAGAAACAATGATGCAAGTTTATGTTCAATTGTATAATTGTCCAAAGGCATTAGGTACATGCTGCTTTCTATTTCAGAACAACCAACAGTAGCCTGTGGATCATTGCACTCTGCAGGCAATTCTTCATCTGCTTCTGGTAGATCAGTTGGAGTTGTTGGCGATATTACAGATTATCTAAAATCATTAACACTGTAAGATTTGTACTTCCGGCTTACATGACTACTGAAGGACATTACTTGTAAATTCACAGTTTTTGAATAGACAACAAACAGTCACATGCTGCTTCAAATTAGCCCTGAGATGGCCTATGCATTTTTCTGGCACACAGAGGACCTTACAGTCACACAATTCACAACAAAATGTGACCTGCACTTTAGGTTTACCAGACTGTTTATGTCCTCTTGAAAGGTGGGATTTTAACGCACCAGTTGTCTTGAAAGTTCAGGTGCAGTCTGTAGACAGGCACGGGAGTGGTTAGAATCACGCCTGGTAATGTCTGTAATGCTTTAAGAGGACATCTTGACTGGGGTAGAAAAACTTGCATCCAAATCCTATGAAGGAAAGATAAGAACATGTTAACAATGTGCATAGTTATCAAAACTCCATGCAAATCTAACAGCTTCACATCCCCTTATTTTCAAAGTTGCTCAAAGATGGGCAACAAATATTGCCACGGAGTAATGGTACATTTTTTACTAAAACAGAAAAGCAGTTTGCCATGATTTATTAAATGTACACTGAGAACTGAGAATTTAAAAGATGATTTCACTAACCTCTAACTATGTTTACCTTAAGTGTGTAAAGGAGCTATTTGCAAGTCATTAAAATGGTTTTATCATAATGACAAAAATACTATGAGTGATGGAAGGAAGGGGGTGACCATGAAAAGCAACAGACCCTTCATCCCCCCTTTTGCTGAGTCTTTTAAATGAGTATTTATGCATTATTTGTTTTGTATCATCAGGGAAGGAAAAGCATAGGTCAAGGAGTCTTACGAGTAACACAAATAAATGGGGTGCACAAAAGAACGGCGTGCTGCTTTAAGTCTACTTCATTACCTGGACTGTATCTAGTGCACCTTAATGTTACACGCGCGGGGGTAACTTAAACTATCAGCCCTCGAGTTTCAACGCCACCAACGCTAACGAACGGCGAAGCACTTTGCAGCAACATGTTAGCTAGCTAACAAAAACCAACCAATGTAGCATACAGCGCTATAACGTTGTGCACGTGCATACAACGTAGTAACGTTAGCTTTAGCTAGTACAGACGTTAACTTTAATATGTGCAAATTCACTCGACCATGCAAAACCGCAAGCCGCGGGTCGTTATCCTTAAATTACACATGACATTATGAACACGTGAAAAATAGGGTGGGGTCCGTCACGTTGTAAACTTCTTAATGTTAACTTTTGCATTTAAAAAAATAACAGGTTCGCTGACTAGCCCGTTAGCTAACACACTCCAGAACATACACAGCCTTACCTTGTTAATTTGTGCTTGAGGTAGACGGCATGCTGCAGCAACACTTGAGCTGGCGTGGACCGGAGCGGAATTGCTATCTCTAACTGAAGGCACTGGTGTAGCGCAGTGATTAGACGTTTTTTTCCCTCTCTTCTTCTTCTTCTGCTTCTTCTGCTTCTGCTGCTGCTGCTGCTGCTGCTTCTTCTTCTTCTTCTTCTGGTTTTACTGCGGTTGGCGGGTTTTTTTCTCCTCTCTCTCTCTCTCTCTTTATTGAACATTGTCAACAGACATTCAGCAGATCATGAACATTCTTACACAAATAAGATTTAGGTATAAAAATCAATCAAATTAAATCTAAAAAAATAAGGTATCTAAACATAATGATATCAAAAATCAAAGTATCTTAACAGGGGCTAAAGAAAATAATATTTTATTTATTTTATTAAATTTATTAATTTATTTTATTTTATTATTTAAAATATATAATTAAAATAGTATATATATATACACACATACATACATACATATATGTACATGTATATATTTACTAACATCTACCCATGCACAGTGGCCTTAGTTACCTCAGCAGATGCCCAAACCACTATGCTAAGTTTTCTCAACTTAAAAGTTTCAGTGGACTGCACTCCTTATTAGTAAAGTTGACATTTTGAGTTAGCTCAACTTTTTTTCAAAGGGATTTGTTGAATCAACTTTAAAAAAGGTGTTAGTACAACAAATTTGAAGTTGGACTTTTTAGAGTGTAATAGATATCAGATCTGCAATCATTTATCTTTCTTTCTTCCTCCTCTTCTCTTCCTCTCTTCTCTGTCTCTCTGTTTCTATTCTCTGGGCTTATCTGCTGATCTCCCTCTCGTCTCTCCTCCTTCAGCCCCCCCCTCTGTCTGCCCCTATCCTGTCATTGCGGGTGTGATGGGTAGAAACTGTCAAGGGGTAACAAACTGATTGGGGTGCCCCCGCCTCTCGTATTTCCTGTTCAGACAGTGTGAGGAGCTGCAGAGGCTTTGGATGGCTGGACATTATGTGTTTTTCTCTGTACATTCTCATAAACCTACTTTACCTTGTTAGCATCATGGAAAACACATACGTAGTTCGTATTGGTCTTTTTTATTTTTAAATGGCATCTGATAAGATGCATATGACTGATTTGATTCGAGTGTCATTTCAGACTGTCCTTAAATGCCTCACACCCCTGTGGTGTTTGTAATCGGGACACTTTGACTTGTCACAGCAAGATGAGCACAGGTGTGACAAACAGCATTAATGAGGGCTCTGTGAGACCAGAAACCATCGTCGGTGATCCAGCATGAAGAGTAGCACAGCCCGGAAGTGAAACACCTGAATGGAATGCTGCCACGAGGAGTGTCAGTAATAATTACACCTGTGTTTAACAGGTCAAAATGTCCGTTGGAAGAAAGGTTTCCTCGTTAACTTAACCATTGCTCTCCATTTAGCAGCAGTCTCCAGAGTCCTCCAGATTAAAGAAAAGCAAAATGTTACAAATCACTGTTAAGTAAATCTGCTTTATGGTGGGACAACTCTACGGTTAGGGTTTGCTTAGGTTTAGGGAAGATCTGAGTTAAAATAAGGTCAGGGAAACAGAAACCACAGGGAAATGGACAGAGATCTCCTGTGTTGAAGGTGATATTTTCTTGTTATATAAATGTTAATTCGAGGAGACAGGGTGGTTATTTCACTATTACACACAGTGGAAGTGATACTACATTCTTGTATCAAAGCCCGGTTACTGGTTCGAACATGGTTCCTGAAAGTGCAGGTTATGGAGAGCCCCTGTTGATGACTTGTTGCAAAGGAACTCTATGTGGTCTACGTAGTTCAGTCAGACAGCTGCTGGTTGAGAGATAAGATGTCTGCTTGTGCGTCAATCATCATATGTCCATAAATGGTCTGTATGTCTGGTATGGCTGGTATTGTAGTGTTTTGAGACTTTGTGTAGATTCATTATTATTGGAATGACTGCAAGTAATCCTTTTACACATTAGTGATCTGTCACCAGTCGACGCCCCCAAATGCGGCATGTCCACGCTCTTTGTAGAGTAAAGAAGTATCATTATGATACTGATGGTAATGTCCTTTTTTACTTTTTCCACCTCGACAGAAAAAAAAAACCTGTCAATATTTTGATTAAAGCACAAATATCAGCTTCAGTCCCTATATTTGACCAGTCAATCAACCCGTCCTCTCTCCCTTTTACGACTTCCCTCCTCCGCTGTTTCTTTGTTTTCATCTCTCCTCTCATGCTTGACCCTCTGGGACATCCTTTTAATTCTTTATCACCAGTCTTTCTCTCTGTCCATCCCTGTCTTCCCCTCCTGCTCTTTTCATTTCTGTCCAAAACCAGTGAACGTGCTCGTCCTCCCGCTGCATCCCCACTTTGTCTCCTCACCCACACTGTCTCTTTCCATCCGCTCTTTCTCTGTCGATTAAAAGTAGGTCATTCTGCAACATCGAGCCACAGCTCCTGCCGAGCATGACATCCTCATATACACACATTATCGCCTGGCAACCACACGCTCACCCTGCACCCTCCCCTCATCCTCCATCCTCATTCCCTCCATCTTACCTTCCCTGGGGGTGGCGCTCGGTGCAGAGGGCTGGGTTTGCAATCTGACACTGCTGTGTTTTGTCCCTGCTCTGCTTCCATAGATGGACGGAGGGTTAATTGAGCAGTGTTTTGTCGAGGAAAGTTGGGTTCATTTCACACATACTTACATAATGTGCCCATAAATGTCTATAGATAATGGGATCGTGGGAGGGGACAGTCTTCAATGCTGGATCGAGCCTGAACATTCTAAAGGGAAATAAAGCATAGAGGTGAGGGTTTTATGAATATAATTTACTGGCTTATATCGATCATTTGTGCCAAAATACAACACCTTTAACTAGTGCATTTTATACTTGGGCCTTCTGTGCTGTCCTACTACAGTTGAATAACCTAATTATGAGCCACAGTTACGGTTATTATTTGTTTCTAGGGGTGTAATAATACATGTATTCGTATTAAACCGTTTGGTACGAGGCTTACGAACCGAACAATACATTTGAATAATACTTGTGCATTTGGTAAATGCAGAAGCTTAAATTGTGGGAAATATGTTTTCGCTCACGTAGGAGACGACGGACTTTGTGACCTTTGAACCCAGAACCAAAAAAATCAAAACAAAAAACAGCTGAGGCTACGCTAAACTAGCTTAATGAGAAAACAACCGCGGCAAACCCCGCGATGACGGGATGCTTCGTCATTAACGGACAAGTTAGAATCAATGTAATTAACACAATAACAAGAAGAAACTCACATGAACCAGTCACATATATTTATATGACAACAAAGCATGACAAATCAATCCAGCAACACTGCAGTGCTAACACGCGTATTCCGCCGCACACTGAAGAGCACGAGCCATTCGACTATTATTCACATCAGAGGGAACAGTATTAACCATATCATAAAAACGACATGATAGAAAATATAACAGTAGAAATACTACTGCAGATGTAAAAACACAAAAGCACTTCACTTACCACAGCTGCTGTTCACTTAAAGACAAAGTCCATCCTCCTTTCTTTGTTAACAAAGAGTTTAATACCGCGGTTGTTCAGAACATCGGTTCAGTTCAGTTCCAGTCAGAGGTCCTCCTGCGAACGTGTCCGATGAGTTGTAAATCCACTCAAGTCTCAGCAAAAGTTTCATTCTTAGCCATAAAATGTGCAACACTTCTCCGCAGCTGTCAGCCAGAAATACCATTAGTCCTTTTCTATGCTAGCTGTGGGGTTGACCGACCCTTTGATACAAAGTCCAGTTTTTCTGGTCTTGAGAAATCCATTTCTCCTCCTTCAGACATTGAGTGTTAAAAAACACAGCTAGGTAAAAAAAAAGAAGAATCTACACCAAGCAAAATGCTAAAAATGTCATAACTTCTCTTACATATGTTTCAACCTTAACTCTTACTAAACACTAAGATCTGCTAGCTAGCTTTCTGTTTGACAAGTCACGCTGGCCCACTGACCAATCACGGCACACGTTAATTCAGACGTACTTAGCAGGCTACCTGGGTAGCATCAGCACGTCAAAGAATACGCCCAACATGTCAAACTAAAGATCTGATTGGTTGAAGACTATGACAATCAACAATATCGTCCCCATTTACTTTAATCTGCAAAGTCTACCTAGAGGACCTCGGGCCTCTCTTCTATAGAGACAGAGGGGCTGAATCTGATTGGATAAAAGCTCTCCTTAAATCAAGCTGTGCTGGAAGCAGCGCTGCAGGCTGGAAGCAGAGCGACAGAGGAAGACAGGAGCTGTGCAATGAGAAAATAAGCTAATGGGAAAAAATAATTATAATACATGTAGTGTATTTGTGAAAAATTATTAAATTATAAAATAGCTATAACTTTGTGATTCTGTTTAGGCCAGCAGAGAAGGCTTAGCTGGCCCTGACGGCCCACCACTGAACTATATGCAGAAAATGCCTGGAAATGTAACTTGTAGAACATAATGTGGAAAATGAACACACAATATTGAAGAAAAACCTCATTATATTTCAAAATGTAACATTTGAAAACTTTTGAAATCAAAACTATGGATTGTTGCGTGTCAGAAACTTTCATGGTTTTGTAACAAACAAGACAAGACTTTTGATTTCATGCCCACAGTCTGCAACTTTGTGATGTTTATGTCTTTTGGAGATGAGTGCAGAATACAGCATCCATGATGACAACATTCCATTTGCAAAGAATGTTAGGGTTGTAAGACAATATGTACCTCTAAGGGATAATTTGTATCCCTTAATTTGGTATTGTACATTGATTCACTGAGAGCTTCAAGCTTAACTCATGATTGGCATGTGGCACAACAATGTTGTGGGGGTGACGTAGGGTCAGGTTCAGAACTTCAGGTGTGTTCCCAAGCCAGCTAAGACAGTGCTGCAGCAGATTAAGATGGCAACGCGCTTAACCCAGTTCAACATTTCTCCCCCAGATGTTCAATATGTGACATACTGTATTCAGAGGGGGGTGTACTGTTTATACACATATTTGATGAACTCTTTAGTCATCACATAAGAGTTAGGATGATGTAACTTAGCTGTAGCTTGTACATATTTATATTTTAAAAAGTTTAACCACTCTAAATATACTTTTTTATAATGTAGCAGAGTAGAATGGTAGATGCATTCATACCATATCAATAATTGAATCGCAAATTAAGTCATTTTTAAGCATATCCACATCAAAGCAGTGGCATATGTGTAAAGTCTTCATTACATAAGGTTACTGAGATAGATCCCAAATACCCCTCAATGGTTATAAACAGAGACAATTCTGCTGCTGTCTTGTTCAGTAACATCTAAACTTGTGTTAGTGAGAGAACTAAAGGTTGAGAAATGTAGCCAATGAGATAGAAGTTCAGCAGCAGCACTAGTCTGCATGATAACAACCGAGCTGACTGGTAGAGTTTGTGACCCTCTTAGTGACACTTTAAAAACCTAAAAAAACACTATGTGTAATTGTTACATCCAGTAGATGTGCAGTGTTGGGGACTGAAATCTTGGGGACTGAAATCAGCTGTTATCTGCTCAATTTTACAGCAACCTGATACAGTATTTAGTTTTTTTCTTTCATGGCATAAAGCAAAGAAAGGCATGTTGGGGGATTAGAAAGAATGCATGTAGCTGAGAAGAGTGGGGTGAGTTAAAAAAAACTACACATATCCATCAATGCCAATTACATTTTTTATTAAACCTAACCTCACAACATGGTAGGGCAGTTTGGACCATCTGAAGCCCGACAATAGAATAGAGTAGAAGAATAGAAATATACTTTATTCATCCCCAAGGGGAAATTTGTCAATGGTAATGGTAACCTCTGATACCTGCTGATAACATTTGAAATTGGTTGCTCTGTAAATTTCACACATCAAATTCTGTTTAAAGGACTTGGGGGGGGGGGGTGCTACTGCTTCTCCAGAGGAAGCTGTGCAAAGTCGTTCCCTTAAGTCAGTGGTACTCAAACTGTGGGGCACGGTGGTATTACAGGTGGGGCGCAGGGGGAAATGCAGATTTATTTATTTATTTTTTAATTAAATTTTTTTTTTTTTATATATTTTTTTTAAAAGTAATTAATAAATACATGACGAAATGCCTGTACTTTCGTGTAAATGTTTACGTTACGCCGTTAACAGGTTACGCTTGCGCATGCGCGACGGCCATGATCCTTGGCGACTCACATGTGTGGCTTAGTGTTCCAAATGAGACATTTGGCAGGCGGGAACAGAAAAGCAACCGCAAGCGATGCATCCGAGACAAACAGCAAGCAGCCAAGGAGAAAATATGATGACACCTATCTTGCTCTGGGTTTCACAGTGACCGTGGTAGGAGATGAGGAGAGACCAGTCTGTGTTTTATGTCTGAAAACTCTAGCTGCGGATAATATGAAACTTGTTTTGTTTAGTTTTTCACAGATTGCACTTTATTGTTATCTTGAAAAGATGTTTAGTGCAAAACAGGTTAATTGCAGCCAATTGCAATAAGCTATTTTTTTGCCAAATTGTAGTTCTTTTTTGCACAGATATAACTTTATTTGCATTGTTCTAACAAAGTGATTGCACATTTTATTTGTTTTTGTCTGATGGAGCAATCTGGTTTACTTAAAAGTAATTGCAATTTTCTTTATTCTATTATTTGAAAAAGCACAGACGGAGGAGTCACAAAATGTTATTTCAATAAAAGTTCAACATAGACCATTTTGTTACAATTTTGTTGGGGCGGTGGGGCATGAACATTTTTCTTCCTCCAAAGTGGGGCGCGACAGAAAAAGTTTGAGAACCACTGCCTTAAGTGGTGTCACTTGACTCAGTTGGGGCTACGAAAGACTACAAAAATATGTGGTGTGGAGATATAAAGAAGTGAGCTACTGCTAGCAGTCTGCAATCAGCTGTTGTGTGTGAAAAGTGTAGTTTGCACAGTAACGTATGGTTTCATTGAAGAATCACTTCAGCACAATCTGTATTGGAGATACACTGTGTTTGTGTGTTAAATATTCCCATTGAGGCTTTTACGCAGACCTCCAGGCAGACTGTGGGTTAGTGTGTGTCTTTGTGTATGTGTGAGTGTTTGCAGACTGTGGGTTAGTGTGTGTCTCTGTGTATGTGTGAGTGTTTGCAGACAGTGGGTTAGTGTGTGTCTCTGTGTATGTGTGAGTGTTTGCAGACTGTGGGTTAGTGTGTGTCTCTGTGTATGTGTGAGTGTTTGCAGACTGTGGGTTAGTGTGTGTCTCTGTGTATGTGTGAGTGTTTGCAGCAGCAGAAGCAGCAACACAGACAAGGACAAAAAGAAAGAGGGAAAGAGCATCCTGAGATCCTGCGGCTGGCGTAGAGACGAGCTCCTTGAAAGCACAAACATAGTTGAAGAAACAACACGCTGCAGACAGTCCTGAGGCGTGTGTGTGTGCGTGCTGCTGTCTGCTTTACTGTATTTCTGCTTCTTCCTGTACTCAGACTTACACAGGCTAATGAGCAGCACAGCTCATTGGAGTCTTCTCCTTAGACTTATTTTATTGCAAACTGTCTCTCACACCCAACCCATTCAGCATTACACCACAGCCTGTCAAGGGGTCCAGTCAGAGTGACCACATGTATTTTTTGTTTGGGGTAAGAGAATAGCGGACAATGCTCCCATATCTGCTGAACTCTGCTGTGATCCTTTCTGTTTAAACTTATGTACTGTACGTCTGCTCAAGAGGCTTCTAGAGGTTGTTGTATTGTTTATTTGTTGTCTTTGTGTCTCACCAGGTCTGTTAACAGGTCACAGCAGAGTGTGGACAGACGGACGATAAGTGTCCACACCAGTGAACGTAAGTCTGGTTTCTGTTCTATCTGTGCTGCATGTTAGACATGAGAATTCACAAGAATAGACTACTACTTGAAAAGCTTCCCAATTTCTCATTTGGGAATGGTTTTGTATATGTATATCTATATAAACTATATACGTATACACAAGTTGGTCTTTATCATTGTAATTGCAAACCAATTCTACTGATAAATATGAGGAACAAAAGTATCTTAGATAATGTTACATTCAATGTTTTCACACATATGAACAGCTTTTATGAACACATAAAATAATAATTGGAAATATGAAAAAAGTTTCAACGTAGTTGCAATAAACTGATATGACATTTGGTTTTGTCGGCCACAGTTATCAGACATTGCTTGTCAAGTGAGCCTACTGAACAAAGTGGCCTCTCAATCTCAATCATACTACTCAGATTTATGGGAATATATCCTAACAATTCGTTAGTGGAAACGGCCCACAGCATATAAAAAGTAGCCCAAACTATTATAACCCTCATTATAGTGGAGTAGGAGTGGAGCTACATTAGAGTTAGCATGGTTGTTCCCTCCACAACCTCCAAACCAAAGTCTGTACAAAGTCTGAACACTGTATTGCAGTTAAAGGAAAATAATTGGTTTCTACAAAACAGTGAAGTTTTACAATAAACTGAAGCAAAATAATCTATTCAACAAAAGGTCCTTGACTAAACCTGACCTTCAAGGATAGAGCAGAAACAGGAGGACACAGTACAACGCAAATGGCAGTTCACTCCTACAGATTCAGTGCTATTTACAAGAAAAAGGGTTTAGTTACAAAGTTACTCACAAATCAAGGGTTAGGGTTAGGCCAAGGGTGAGGTTTTGGCCACTAGACCAAAACCTCACATGTTTATCATACAGAGAACTGCACTCAGGTCTGGAGTACAGCTACAACTTCCCTCTCTATGGTGGAAAGAAGAACTCTTCGTAACAATGGTTTCGTCTCAGCATCTTTGTTAGTTTTGATCAGTTTACGTGTAAATGTTTTTACAGGTAGTCGCACGGAACCATTTTTATGAGCTTCTTCTATGACGAACACAAAACAGTGTTGTGCATGATCAGTAAGGTCAGCTGGTGTAGTCAGCATCAATGTAGACTCACTTTTGGAGGGTTTTATAACTCACTTCCACTCCCTGGCTTTGAGATGCCATTTAATGCCAACGGAAGTGGGTATAGAGAGGGTGTAGGGGCCAACTGGAATTGAGCCAGAGACAGGCACCTACTATATAGGTTGAGAACAAAGATCCACACAGGACAGAGCACACACTCTCACACAAAACAGCCACACCAAACATGGCCAGGACTGTAACAGATGTGACCCGCCCAATTAAAACAAAAGTAGCCCATCTGGGTGGAAACAACCCAATCTTGCAACAGAACTTCTGACTTATCAGAAAAGAATCTTTTCAAAAACCAGACCACCTAAAAATGACATCATAAATAACAGGACGTTATTCTATGTGCATATTGCTGCGGTTGCTTTTGTACCAGTGGGGGATTTACCTTGACGGGTGGCTTGCTGGTACATACAGAATTTATCTGGGTGTGCAGTAGCCATGAGAGTGCTGTGAGGCTGAGGGTAATTGTGTGTGATGGTTGGGATATTTTTGGGCTACTTGAAGAACAGATTTGGTAATGCTGTGTTGAGAATATATATGGAGGTCAGAGAAATGGTTGAGGGGGCAGATAATGTGTTAATGCCTCCAGCTTTGCCACTGTCTCAGAGAGATAAAACAAGGGAAGAAATGGACAGGATTTGTATTTAGAGCAAAGCTTTTTCAGGAAGAGAGAAAGAGGGTTAAGAGGAAAGCAGACTTACAGACTTACAGACTTACTTTTTATCTGCTTCCTTTTCATCATTCTAACCTAGAGTAGTATAGATCTGTTGAACCTACATTCACTTCAAATAGTATATGCAGTGAATATATCATGTATAAGAAGTGGGATTAAATGTAATGAAAGTCACATTAAAAGGTGGATTTGTTGTTAATTATGCAAATCTCTACCACTGCCATGCTGTTCCAGGAATCATTTTTTTCATGAAAATCCTGCGTGTTCCACCATCTAACGGTGCCACCATTATAACAGTGTTAACAGATGACTTTCAGCCGAATGCTTCCGCAGTTTCTCATAGCAACTTACGTCAACAGTTGGAGTAGATAATAAACACAGATGGGTATGTATTTGAGCAAGATTGATTGATGTATTTTACAAGTACACAGCTGCCGTCACTACAAGACAAGTTAAGTTGAGTTAATTTATTCTGTGGGACCAACACAGCCCCTAGACAGTGTCTTAGTCCACTAACGCTAGCTATGCTAGTAAAGCAGTGTTAACTTAGCTGAAGTTACTTGTTCCACAATGTTAAGCTAACTTAGGCAGCTTACAACTGCCTGTCGTCAAATGTAACTTTACATAGAACATAAAGGTAAACATTGTGCATTTCTTAGGACAGCTGCGCAAATTGTGGGGAGCAGCAATGGCAACTTATGTACTTCTGGTACTTCCTTGGATTCCTGTATAGAGAGAAAACTTTGTCACATTTTGAATCCAATGGTGGGAATCTCAGAGACGAATCATCACCACAAATGAATTGATCCTTGTGTCAAGTATTCTTGACAGTATTTTATAACAGTAAAGCATTATTTCAGGGATAAGTGAGGGTCCTCTAGGAGTAATCACACATCATCTGACTAAAGAGTGATTTGGGTGAAGTGTATCGTGCTCTTATCCAATAAATAAATGATTTGCAAAATGCATAGTTTAGTTGGTAAGGATTTGACTAATTTGCTTAATTTTTTGTAGTTTTAAGTGACAGAATCAAAGTGTTGATTTTTGGAGAGTTGGAAACTGCATTCAGGACATATTTGTAGCAAAGGAAAGTCATGCACACACAAGCACAAGCATTAATGCATACATAAAGATACAGACCTGCTCTTCAAGTGTACTCTCCAAGCACAATTACTCACAAAGGAGGGATTTTCCCAGTTTTGGGACATGTTTACACATATAGAAACAAATGCACACTGAAAATCGACATGAATACAGTGTCATTTCACCTCCTCAGCCCTTTCCCCACTCTATGTTTATGCCAGAAAAGCACTATTAGCACTCAGCATCATCCAAAATGGAATCTCACAGTCACTAGAACAATGGCAATGTGGCAGTTGGGACAAAGACTATGTGAGCGTTTGTGTGTGCTGGGTTGGGGATGTGTTGAATATGAATGCTTCTCTGCATGTACAAAGAGGAAGCACAACAATGATATGAATGTAATTGCACATGGCTCAGGGAAAAGACGACAATAAAATAATACAATAAAACCCATTTGTAAAATGGTGTTTGAAGACATTCTACATTTCCAGCACTGTAGTGTTCTCACTGTAGTGTAAGCCAAATCTTTAAAATGCTTGCCTTCGCAGTTCATTTGATGATTAGCAATTGATTAGCTCTGATATTTTAAGTTCCCTCTCTTAAGAAATTGAAAACGTAAAGGCTATGATAAGAAAATTAATCTTTAGGTGGATTGATACATTCTACACATGGCCTACCAAGACTGGGAAATGTAATTTCCTGTGTCTTCTCTCCTAGACTTCTAATGGATGAAGTGATATGATATTTAAAGAACGCTTTTCTTAACAGCCTCATTTAGCAAATGAATGCAGCTTGTAGAAGTAGGTTAACAATTTTATCATTCTGTGTCATGATTTGCACTTTGAGCGTGCTTCTGGCAAAACTCATGGAAGGTCACTAAGCAGGGCTCACTGACACACAATATACTGTACACAGTACAAATTAACATGGTCATTTTAGAAATGGCCTGCCACAGGCCAATCTGTATTTGTTAGAGCCTGTAGCAGAAGACGCAGAAGGGAGAGACCAGACGGAATTGAATCCATTTGTCTAATGGCTTCTACGATACACCCGTTGATGTAATGTTGGGAGAAGTACTCAGCGTATGTTTGTGTGGGTGATGATAATGTGTGCCTGAGGTTGTGAACCTCAGGCTGAACTGAGGTAACTCTGACCTGGTTGAGTTTTGCCTAATCTATTAGGTCACCTTGTGTGTGTGTGTGTGTGTGTGTGTGTGTGTGTAGGTCGTTTCACATTTTCTAGCTTTTTTTTTTTTTGTCCGAAATGCAGCTTTCAACACTCCAATAATCAAACACCTTGATTCTGTCACTTAATCCTGGAAAATACCAGAAAAGCAGTCACTTCCTAACCAACTAAAATGTGGGTTTTGCAAACCATTTCATTATTGAATAAGAGCAATAAACACTTCACCCAAATCAGTCTTTACGCAGATGATATAGGATTATTCCATCAGTACAGGACCCTAAAAGAATGCTTTGCTGTTGTAAAATACTTCTCTGTCAAGAATACTTGGTGCAAGGATCAGTTCAGTTGTGGTGGTAAATCGTCTCTGAGATTCCCACCATAAACTACAACATTTTAGTTTATACAGTCATACAGAAAGTAAACAAGCCACCATTACTGCAGTGGTGTCTCCCTACAATATGCGCATGTTTGAATGCAAGCTGTCCTAAAAAGTGTAAAATTCTCTACTTTTATCTTTACGTTCTATGTAACATTACTTTTGACAACGGTTTCTTCTCAGCTTCAGTCAGGCTGAATGAAATGATTGGACGGGCAGTTCTTGAAGTCCTAAAACAGCCATAGATAATACCAGATTATTATTTGTGAGGGTTTTTGATTTGTGGATTGCTGTCGGAATTTAAAGTGAATTTCAACAAACCCTAACAAAATAGTTTTTGAAGAACATTATCAACCCTAGCTTGAAAGGAAATGTGTAGTCTAAACTCTGGGGCAGGGGTCTTCAAAGTTTTTCAGGCCAAGGACCCCCAAACTGATAGAGAGATGGAGCAGGGACCCCCGACTATATATATTGTATAAAATTGTGTTTTATATTAAACTGGGCCTAGTGCCATGTATAAACATGCCTCTTTATTGTGCATTCAATACTAAGCTATTCAAATAATACACAGGTTCATATATTCATGTTTTTATTTTAAACATGTGCAAGGCACAGTGAGTAGGGTGACCGTGCCACTGCCATTTATAAACATACCTTGTCAGCTGATACCAATGTCTATATCAACATTGTCTGTCAATTGCATGATAATTATGCATACAAGCTATTCAAAGTGACATTTTTATTTCAAACAAATGTGGAAATGTGCCACTGCCATGCATAAACATACCTGTTATCTTGCATACAATACTGAACTATTAAAATAATGGACAGATTCATGTTTGGGGAAACATTTTTATAAAAAAAATATGAAAAATTGTCTAATCAACCAAAACTTTCACGACCCCCCTGCAGTACCCCCTGTTGAAGACCTCTGCTCTAGGGGTTAAAAAAATAATAGCAATATTCATGTGGTAAAGATTTGTGCCAACATTTCTTATCAGAGTGTAAAAATAGTTTTGAAAAATGGGCCCCAGGTTGTTTGTAGCCTGCGATATAGCTGCTGTGTTCCAGCTGTGAGGTTCCATGTGTGGTAATGTGTAGTATGTAGCATGTGACGTTCACTGACTCTATTTCTTGCCTATCATGTGCTTAGCCTCAGTGTATCACTGTGTGCTGTCATTTATAATGTGTGTAGAGGCTTCCACGTATGGGAAGAAACACTGACCTATTTCAGAGCTTTCACTGCCATTCTCTCTCTCCTCTCTGTCTCTTTCTCTTCTCCTTATCTTGATTTCGCTCTGGGAATAAATCTGCAATTCAAAGCAGATTTCTGTTTTAAGGCTCATATTGGACTGTGTGGCATGCTCTTCTCTTAATCCCTTCCCTCTGCTGTTCTTCCTCTTTGGTGTTTGTGTGTGTGTGTGTGTTCTAAAGATTTCAGTAATAAACAGAGATGGGGTGATACTACAGAGATATATGTGCTTTATGTATACATGTGTGTGTGTGTGTGTGTGTGTGTATGCTGAGTGGAATGAGAGTGTGTAGGGGTGTGTCTCCATGTGTCACCATGTGCTGTACATCCCTGTGCATCTGCATCCCTGCATTTTGAGTGTGTGATTGGCACATCATGCCAGCTGGGTGTATTAGCTCCCCAGGGGCAGATTAGCTATTTATTTGGATAGTGTTGGACTGACATACCCCCAGATGGTTTGTGCATAATGTGTGTGTGTGCACGGGAGGTGTTTGCAGGTTTTTTGATGAAATCTGACTACTGCCCTCAGGCCAAAGAGCTGTTGTGTCCCTTCTGTTGTGAACTCAGTTTGTCTTTTCACAGCTACCATAATACACTAAATTGTGTATTTTTTGACCATTTGGATCAATTTGTGACCAAAACAGTTTGTATGATTATCATGAAATTCCAGTGGAACTCCACAGAGCTGACATGCATGTTCGCTTAGAAGGCTGATTGTCAGTGTGACAGTAGCAGGGGTGGAAAAAAGTTGAACGAAGTCAACAAAGAGACTCTTTACTGCAATGCTCTCTAAACATTATTACATCAGCTCACATTACTTTGTTTATTTTCATTTTGATTTATTGTTTATTCATACAGTTGACTCAATAACAGTCATAGTCCTCCACAGCTCCTCAACAGTCCTTTGTGTTATGTCACAATCTCCGCCCTCATTTTCCCATATTTTCCTGGATATTTGAAATGGCAACCTCACGGTAAATACCCACCCCCACACTCCCACCTGATCTCTTTTTTTAATGTATCCTGTTGTCATAGCTTTGAGTGCTTGTGTTATGTGAAACAGAGTGAAGGATTGATCCTGGTGGGAGATGGCAGCATGGGGGACAGGGATTAACAGTGGGCAGGTGGTCCTGCTATTGCTGCCAGTACACAGACCTGGCTGTCATGTGGAGGTGGTGGGGAGTAAATTAGAAATCTCTGGTTTGTGGGCTGGCTGCTGAATAACATGGCAGGAAGAAGAGTTTAGAACATGGACTTAGTGTCTGTGTTATCAGGGTCATTCTAAAGCTCCTATACAGGTTTATGAATCGTGGCCATCTTTGCCAGGTACTGAGGCCAGAAACTGGGCAAAAGGCCATGGGTGTAGTTGAGATAGCACAAACAAGAAGCTACCACGACAGGTGAGTGTGATGCTTGTAATCAAATAAACACAGTCCAAAACACAGAATCTCTCAAACCCTAAATGAAAAGCTCATTTTAGATGATGTGATAACAACACACAAGTCACTTTTGAAACCCTGACCTGTGGAAACAACTCTACCAAGAATATGTCCCCTTATTCCTAATACAATCTGTGGCCTCTAGTTTGACAGCAGCAAATTGACAAGATCAGTCAAGAAGTTATAGTGCTGTGCTGTTACCACCAAGTTGAGTGTGCCTTTAGTGCATGTTAGTGCATGTGAGTCCCAGTATGTGTGCCCCACTAGCTACAGCTAAGTGTTCAAAATCGAATGATGGATCAAACACATCTTTATAACTTTTGTTCAAATGGTAGTATTTGTTTTTGTAGAATTACATTTTGCCTGTGTGAATTTTCATATAGATAAGACCTTTGAGCCTAAATATCTTGTCACAATTGGCAGTGGTGGGCCATCAGGGCCAGCTAAGCCTTCTCTGCTGGCCTAAACAGAATCATAAAGTTATAGCTATTTTATAATTTAATAATTTTTCATACTTATGCTTATCATTTTCTCATTGCACAGCTACTGTCTTCCTCTGTTGCTCTGCTTCCAGCCTGCAGCGCTGCTTCCAGCACAGCTTGTTTTAAGGAGAGCTTTTATCCAATCAGATTCAGCCCCTCTGTCTCTATAGAAGAGAGGCCCGAGGCCCTCTAGGTAGACTTTGTAGTTTAAGTAAATGGGGACGATATTGTTGATTGTCATAGTCTTCAACCAATCAGATCTTTAGTTTGACATGTTGGGCATATTCTTTGACGTGCCAGTGGCACCGAGGTAGCCTGCTAAGTACGTCAGCATTAACGTGATTGGTCAGTGGGCGAGCGCGTGACTAATGTGAAATTTAAGGAAGCTGGCAGAAGTTATTTGGAGTAGTAAGACTTCAAATTGAAAGTTATGGAAGAAATTATACATTTTTTAGGGTTTTGCTTGGTGTAGTTTATTTATTTGTATGAACGGTGTTCCTGGCTGACAGTGTCGCACATTTTATGGCTGAATGTGTTTCATTTTAACTGAGCGTCTTGGTGTTTGGAGCTACGCTACGCTAACCTGAGGACGCCGTAGCGCGGCAGGACACTACAGTGCTTTTGAAAACTTTTGGAGAAACCCGAGTGGATCTACAGATCAACAAACACTTTCGCAGGGAAACGGAGCTCCACAACCGTGGTCCGCCCGCGGCCGGTCCGCGGTTGGTCCGCGGGCCGGCGGTGGTATCCCGGCCCCGCTGCAAAATACAACTGGGGAGGCTCGACTGTCACTGGCGTCCATGAATCGAGAAGGACTTCTTACTGGAACTGAAACGATGTACTGGGATTAAACTCTTTGTCAACAAAGAAAGGAGGATGGACTTTGTCCTTAAGTGAACAGCATTCGGTAAGTGACAAACTGCGTTTGTTTTTTTACAGTAACGTTACTACTGTTCATTTGTCTATCGTGTCGTTTTTATGAATATTTGAATGGCTCGTGCTCTTGTGTGGTGGAATGCGTGGATCCGCTGCAGTGTTGCTGGATTGTTGTGTCATGCTTTGTTGTCATATGAATATATGTGACTGGTTCTTATGACTTTGTTGTTGTCATTGTGTTAATTACGTTGATTTGACTATGCATTGTTCGTTAATGACACAGCGTCCCGTCATGCACGGATTCATGTATCTGCACCGTAGCTGTTCAACTGTAGTAGGACAGCACAGAAGGCCCAGGTATAAAATGCACAGCCCGCCACTGCACAATGGTGATGATAAATGGTTATATAGAGCTATTTCCCAGCCCTATGAAGTCTTTTAATACCTTTTTGTAACTTCAAGTTAAAAGATAATAACATTGTAGCAAATTAATTGATGTAATTCCAATAATCTGTTCTCCAACATCATTTCTGGGTTGAATTGAATTGAAACCGTTCTAGATTTGACTGTGAAACAGCTTGTGATTGGAGCCTGATCCTACGTTAAGATACAGAGCTTCTCCTTGGCATTGTTTCTAGGCTGCTCTCTCTAGGGAGCCACACAAAGACTCAGCTGTGAATGTAGGCCAGAGTCAACACACACTTTCATGCCAGGATGCGTACAGTACACATCTACACACACAGAGGGTTTATACTGTAGATATACGGTCTTCATCCTAACCATCTGTCTCTGTCTCTGTGTCTGTACTCTCAGGTCCTCTGCTGTCAGGAGAACCATCTTGCCAGTCAGGAGAGGTGAGGGACGAGGCCGGCCAATCGGAGGGGGAGAGATGTTGGGGCAAGGGGGCCACGTTGCCCTGGCTGTCATGTCATTAGTGCTGTTACTGTGTCGCGAAGCAGCACCTATTGAAGTCCCACAAGACCGTAAGTCATTCAGCAATCATCAGATCTGTTTTAACACAATATGGTACAGCAAATGGTGATCAAAACCTATGACCATTCACAAAGGCGCTCAATGCTGCTAGGACTGCTGCCGCCCCATTGACCTGCTGTCTGGAAAACAGCACTTTGAACAAACAAGAATGGTAGTACTGATTATTCCATTTGGTGTCAGATTCTGCAAAGCATTTTTAGCTCACATTTTACAAATTCTTCAAACTGCTGACACAAGCTGACACAGAACAATGGAGATGTTAGTTAGTTTGCTCTGTCACATTGAAAGTTGGTGCTTCTTTCCCTTTGAGAGGTGTTTTGCAAGTCCATTGGATCATGTTTTTGTTGGCATTGTGAGCTTAAAGTGAAGATAGGAAACATGGTGGAGAGAGGGGAACACAACATACTACACTGTGTTTTAGACTACTAGACCACCAGGATTCCCAGATTTACACCGCTTGTAACAAATTCAACAAATGTTTTTGAACCTGACCTTTATTTTGACAAGGCCCAGTGATAAATGCATCGTCATGCTGTGGCAGCTTTTTCTGTCAGTGTGCAGTTGAGAGACTTTAAACCTTTAAAATGTCAGCTGAATCAGATGAATCCAACACCATGTGAAATAAATAGAAAATGCAGCTTGGGCTGTTCAAAATATCATTTTTCGGGCTTTAGAGCTTAGGCATTAATCAACAGCCAGTATTCTGAGCATACTGTGCTTCCCACACACAGGCTTTACTTTAGTGGGCCACCCAGGTATATTAAAGGTCGTCCAGGTATATTTAGCAACCCATTTTACACATTGACAAAAAACGAAACAGAATCCCAAAATTGGAGAACCTATACAGCGAACGAATATCCGAATAGTCGAATATTGAGGGCCAGCCCTCTATGCAACACAGTTGTCAGTGGAGCTCTGCAGGATACTGCAGGAAACTCAAACCAGAATCAGCATTGTTAATCCCAATGAATACCATATCCTTAAACCAGACAGACACTGATATGAAGGGATCAAGCCCCATTATAGCCTCAAATTGGTTTCATCGATTGTGGTGCGACGTGCAGTGTGTGAGGCCTCATTAAACACTGAACAAACAGTCTGTGGAGTTTTGACAGGCATGGAAGGACACTATCAAGTTGTATTTTGGGAAGTCTAGGATCCAGTGTTTCTGGAGCTCGACCTATACCAGGGGCTAAAAGTCAAGATATTGTGATCTCTGCTACATTGATTTTGTGTTTCTTTTAAGTCCACCAACTCACAGGAGCAACTCCTTAAGGTCGTCTTGGTAAATGTTTCTTTAACCTTAGAATCACAATTCTATCATCACCAACCTGTTGGCTATCACATGATACCGCTGGGTTTGGATGGGCCCTTTAAATAATGAAACAGTGGGTATTAGCTGTTTGCTCTAAGTAAGGCCTCTTTCAAAGAGTTAACTTCTTTGTTTTCTCTAAAGAAACCAAATTAATGACATTTTTTCAAACCAGTTTTCTTATCACACAATAAAAATCTCGAATATGTTGACAGGATTTAGAGCAGCGGTTCCCAAACTTTTTAGGCCACGCACCCCCTTCTACATCCCGACTGGGTTCACGCACCCCCAATCCCCCCCACCTTAAAAAAAAAAAAAAGCAACAGAGCCGCATTACGCGGTCAGAATACTACCACAACACGCAGCCTGTCTCCGGCAGAAATGCGCTCACCCAGGCCGAGCAACGAGGAACATTACGCGGCTACAATACCTCCACAAAGGCCCGCGTGTAAAATCCGGGAGTAACCGTGACTCTCTTAAGGGTTAGGTTTGGGTGGGGACGTGGCTTCCTAGTGGAAGTTATGGTTAGGGTTAGGGCAGGGTTAATTCGATGGATACAAATAAATAAAATATACGTCCATAACACCCCGCCACTCTCGGCTCATACCTCCCCAGCAACGAGGCACATCACCCGGCCACAATACCTCCAGAATGTCCCCCGGGTGAAATCCGGGACTTGGTTTTATGGTTCCGAGTGGCGGGCGCTCACCCGTTGGCGCCGGACGCGAGGTCTCCAGCCGCCCCCGCCGTGAGGCACCCCATCGTCAGGTCTGTCAGCCCTCGGAACAGGCCGCGGGGCAACAACTTGTGGGTGGCGGGGGTAGAGGCGAGGCAGATCACAGAAAAATAATAAAGACTAGAGTATGGCAAAGATATGTTGATGAGAAACGTATTTGTAATACGTCAAACACAAACGTAATCAGAGAGAAAATACGTTTATGGTCAAACGTAATTGATAGTGGTGCCATTAACATTTGATTATCATGAGAATAGACTGCTTCAGATCCCGAGGTGATAGCGTATCACTTTGGGTGGCTCCCAAATTCAAAAGTTCCTAGGTTTTCTTTGGTTCCAAGGCACAGATATTAATATATTATACAGCTACAGTCCCGACACAGACACATGCAGTCACACATACTCTCATACCTGTCCATTATGACTCGTGAAAAGAGCCTGACTGGATTCTGCTGTTAAATGGAATCCTGAGGGGAGTTGGGAACAAAAGCACAAAGGAGAAAGGGAGGAGTCGTGCCTTTTCTTCCTCTCACCACACACACACACACACACACACCCAGCGAAGATGAATGTTTCACAATTGTGTGATGATAAATGATTTGATACTGAAAGCCCCAAGGACACCTGGCCTATATGTTGCATACACAACTGCATGCTGTCACACTCGCAGCAGTCAGCTGCTCTGTCTTCTAGTCCTCTGCCCCCCTATGGCGCCATCTCTCTCTCTGTTTTTCTTATAAGCCTGACCTTTCAACTGTGGACTTCTGATGGCCTATTGATCTGATACACGCACATGCACACACCCTGCCCAACAGAGACCGTTTGGATAATACCATTATGACCCAGTGACCTCTCCTTAATGTATTCTCCACACTGTGATAAACTGACAGTCAAGGATTTTATTTATTTATGACAATAAACAGAATCAATTGGTCACTTCTACATAGATTCATAATTCAGTATGATACAGTGTTCATGTTTGCTGCATGACCTGCTGTGTGATATTGCATGTGCAAACACACTGTTGGAGTTGAACACCTTCTTAGTTATGTTTTTATAATAGGCTTTGGTGCAAAATGGAGATGACGGAATCGCTTAGATGAAAAAAATACACAGAATAACAGATCAGACAAAGACGATAAGTCTGGAAAAAAAGGTTATAAGTCAAAGTTTCAAAGTGCCTATTGTTGTACTTTATTAAAAGCTTTATGTATAAGCCTGTGCTTCAGGTAACTAACCTTTTTTTCAAAATGCTTCAGTTTAAACATCATCGCTAGACAGGTTTTAAAGTTCTGGTCCACGATTTCAAGCAGCAGAATCAGAACCAGAAGCGACACAGAGGTATCTGCTGTCATATCACCGGACTACAGAGCAGCTTCTCTGCTCCGTACTCCCTCATAAAATACACTTCTTTGTGCGACCCAATGTAGAATGGCAATAAATATTCAGATCAAGCATGTTTACACATAGTGGACAAGGAGTGTGACTTGGTTCATGGCTTTCCAGTAGCTCTGGATATACACAGCAGCAAGAACAATGTTAAAATGGGTCTTCTGATTGCACGATTAGGTGTTGAACGTATATCAAAAACCACCAGCGATCCATTTTTCAGTTTTGCAATGCACCTCATCATGTTTCTCTATTTCCAAATGATGCTATATGGCATGTCAAACCCCTAATGGCTCTTCCCTTGTGGCTTTCTGTCAGAGCTAACTACGGCACCACATGCTCCACAGAGTGTTGATGGTTTCATTCAGTAGACAGGATGAGCAGCCCCATCCCCCTCTGTTCCTTATGCCTCCTTATCGGCTTCACAGTAAACTGCACTCCTGACCTTTATTGATGAGAGCTTTCTGCACATCAACACACGTTAACACACACACACACACGCACACACTCCATTTACACATGATAATATCTAAAGGGCTATTGATGAGTGCTATTTACGTTCAGTAAAAATGTTCTATTGTAGTAGACAGAACACAGTCATCATTATTAACTGGATCAGATATACAAGACAAAGACATAATAGTGAATAGCAGCATGGATGTGAGCATGCATTAGTGCGCACACAGCACACCCCTTCTATCGGGGCTCATCTGTAACACAAGGTCAGGCTAGGGGTCGCTTCATCTTTGTGTGTGTGTTCCTGTGTCAGTGGAGAAATCAAAAGCAGACCAGTCAGGCAAACATAATAACAAATATATATCTACACAAAGAGGTATTTAGTACATTTACAGCAATTAGTCAAATGTTCTTTTAAATTCTTATGATCTTTGGCTCCAGTTGAATAATTAGTGTTGCATTACATTACTTACAACAAAAAGTCCTGTTACACACTAAGATTCCTGAGTAAGTTCCCTGTCTTTTTAGCAGACTGTGGCTATCCGTCAGCACAACACTTTATTTAAAAAAGTCAGCATTTCCAGCATTCATTACAATATGACTGGATGAACTAGATTTATACTTTATATACAGTATGTACTTATGTATATAGCAGTGGCGGGCCGTCAGGGCCTGCAAGGCCTTCTCTGCTGGCCTAAACAGAATCACAAAGCTATATCTATTTTATAATTTAATAATTTTTCTTAAATACACTACATGTATTATAATTTATAAAAATATTTTACCCATTATCTTATTTTCTCATTGCACAGCTACTGTCTTCCTCAGTTGCTCTGCTTCCAGCCCGCAGCTTGTTTTATGTAGAGCTTTTATCCAATCAGATTTCACCTCTGTGTCTCTAGGTAAGAACAGAGGCAGAGGCCTGCAGACTCTCACCTGCAGCCAGTGCAGATTAAAGTAAATGGAGATGATATTGTTGATTGTCATATTCTTCAACCAATCAGATCTTTAGTTTGACATGTTGGGCTTATTCTTTGAGTGTCAGTGCCTGCGAGCCGGCCTATAATGACGTCAGCATAACGTGCAGCTCAGTGTCCATGCAGCTCTGCCGCGAGTGCAGAGTGTGCTGTGATTGGTCAGTGGGCGAGCACGTGACTATCGTGAAATGAAACAGCAGAGGCTGTCGGGTAGTGAATCACATCACGTGATGCAGCTCAGCCAATCAAATATGGGCATTCTGACTGAGCGAGATTACCACACACCATGACACAGGGGGCTGAGATGAGGAAAGACATTGCAGAGCAGTACATTCAACGTTGAAGTTGTAAAAGTAAAATCCTAAAATGATCTCTTTGGGCTTCGGCTTGTCATTAAGGAGTAATGGTGGGTCCCACAGCCAGGCCAGCTGAGAACCACTGTCCTCCATGAGCGCAGAAAAATTATATTTTCCTGAATATAAGCTTCTGCATTTTCCAGATGCTCTACTACTATTCAAACATATTGCAAGTCTCGTACCGAACGTTACGTACATAGGTATGTACATTTAATACATGTACAAATGTACGAACATTTAATACGTACACAGCCTTAGAAACTGATAACTGTGGCGCCATCATGTGGTTATAAGGTAGTATTTCAGCTGCAGGACAACAGTGATAGCCCAGGTATAAAATGCACTGACCGCCACTGGTATATAGCAAATGGGACAAAATGATACCACATTACTCAAAGTCTTTTCTGACACATTGAATCCACTTTACCACAGTTACCACCTCGTAGCACCCAGTAATGTATCACTTTCCTACAAATTGAATATGGTTCGAAAATGTAATAAAACCCAATAACTCAACCAATAGAGGATAAAATGTCCTGACTGATGTTGTAATAACGCTTTTATCAATAATGTTATACCTTATTACGTTATTGTGAACCATTCTCAACACAAAGGGATGCTAACTTTGCCTAGTCAGGAAATAAATCACCAGGAGTGTAAAAAGTAGCTAGAAAATCAACATTATACTTTTATTATAAGTTAAAGCAGTGGTTCTCAAGCTTTCTTGGTGAAGCCACCCTTAAAACTAACTAAATATATGATTTCATTCCCCCCCATCATAATCCATGAGGGTGGACTAAAGTAGAAGTCAATAAATTTGTACTAAATTTAAGGATTAAGGTCAACCTTTTTCATCATTTCAAAATGGATTTGAAAGCAGACATTTCATAAGATCAGGCGAGGAAGAGGAGACACTTCATTCAATAAGAATCCCTGTTGACTCAGATGGAAAAGAACATTTCATGGAGATTGAATTGACTGTTTTGCCTTCTTTAACAATGACAGGGATTTTAGTTTTAATGCATTTTTCCATGATAACAACGTTTGCAATCTGTTGTAAATTTCAAATTTAAAGCCTAGAGTTCACAATGTCAACCATTAAATCACTGTTTTCAGTAGTAAACATGACATTAACAGTATTATACATTTTCTATATTTGCACACTTTACATTTCCGAGAAAAAAGCATCACTTTTTACATTATTACATCAAAGTTCTTACATCATCAGTTCAGTCAGGAAATTTTATTATGTTATTTCTCAAATCATTGCATTGGGTAACATTGCATTTTCGATCAGGTTAGGTGTCAATTATATTACATTTTCAGGAAATGATCCCATTATTGGGTGCAACACACCTCACTGTATACTCCTCACTTTCATTGGCGATGCAGCAGAGGCGGGCCTTGTATTTTATACCTGGGCCTTCTGTGCTGTCCTACTGAGCTACGGTTATTTCTTTCTATTGGTGTAATAATACACATATTCGTTTTAAACCGTTCGGTACGAGGCTTACGAACCGAACAATACGTTTGAATAATAATAACGTTAGTGCATTTGGAAATATAATGTTTTCGATGGACTGCGCTCACGTAACAGACAACGGGATGTGTGACCTTTTGAACCCGGAACATTAACAAAAAACCGAAATAACCCCGCGATGACGGGATGCTTCTTCATTAACGGACAAGTCGAATCAATGTAATTAACACAATGACAAGAACCAGTCGCATAAAATTGTCAAGCTTGACAAATCAATCCGCTGTCGGCGACTGAAACACCGGCTGGCGTTACGGAAACAGCGGGCTGACGGCTCACCACTGCGATGCAGTAACCAAAACACATTGTAATCACGTACAGAATCTGGCTGCCGAAGAAAAACGTGTCATGGCCCCACTCACTGTGATGAAATGAAATGAAAGTCGGAAGGAAACAAACTGCCTCGTCACCAGCAGTAAGCAGGACATCTGTAGCCTCTCCTGTGACTTTTATTTTGTTAAGTTAGAAAACATGAGTGGGTCGCCTTAAAGGAACCGTTCCCTGTCAATCATCATGTCAACAGTGTCTGCAAATCCTTCCACAACTACATCAGTAAAAACTACGTACAGTGCAGACCTTTAAAGACTACATGTACTGGCCTCCTGAATACAGCAGATTTATATGCAGTTATGGTTAGGCTTCCATTCTGTTACTAATCCGTTATTTTCAATGAAATACACAGTTATGACACTGTGTTATAATCTAAATCATAACTTGTGTGTTGTCTGTCTCCTCCTTACTGCTCTCCCTTTGCTGATACGGGAACGCCTTACAGGTGAGTGATCATTTCTGTGTTTCATTCTGCAGATCACAGTTCTCTCTCTAATGATTTTATAGCATTAACTCTACACGGCATAACTGTAAGCTGAAACAGTGGTTCTCAACTGGTCCAGCCTAAGGGTTCAACCATCAGGTCACAGTAGGCCAACGTAATACCCACTCTGTTTATTTCCATCCATCCAATGCTAACCATTAGGTATGATATCACAAGATAAAAACAACTTGTTCGGTCTACTAGATATTTTTTCCAACATATTTGAATAGGTCTGATAAAAGAAAAGTGGTTTTCCGGCTGGGTTTCAACTCAGGCCAGTACTTCACTTTATAATACTCTTTTTCCATTTGTGTTCAGTGTAGGTAAAACTAAGTTGAGTATATACTGTGTCATACTGGTGTTCACCTGTACTGTAAAGTTGGTTAGCAGTCCAGGAGGACAGAAACGGTATTTAAAAATAAATTCACTTTTAGAAAATTCACTAAATTTCTTTGACAAAGCTGCACCACCGGCTTACTCAGAATGCACCTGTGCCAGCTGGGAACCACTGAGTTGAACATAACATAACATGAAAAATATGTTATAACATAGTACTATAAATGTTAATATGTCTCTAATACGATTAACAATCACATTACTATTTGTCCATGCTTCTCTCTGTCTCTCTTTGGCTTTACATTGGACTAACAGCAAAGATCCTGCAAGACCGTAAGTGTTTCTTTTTAACATTACTAATGTTTCTGTCCCACCAGCTCCTAGCTTGTCGCTCCTAGCTTGCAACAGTTTCTTTTTTATCTTGCTAGAGGTAAAACACACTCATAGAAAAAGAATAGGGGTAGAATGGACATTAAACAGTTTTTGGTCCTTTGACTAATACAAAAGAAAATGTCTTCTGTTGTTTGTTGTTATGGTGACAACACACGTCAGAGGAAGTGTTGTCGCAGCTAGCCAGTAAGAGAGCGGACGTAGCTCCGGAGACAGATGGCTGGCTAGTTAGCTAACTGCGACAATGTCCATCAGCCTGCTGTTTAGCTCATTTTCTATAACCAGCGTAGCACTAAAGCATGGTGGAGCTTGCAAGCTAGCTAACTAGTCAGCTAGTTAGTTGGTTTCAGGAAATGAGCCAAACAAAGTTGTAACTAATATGGCAATAGCAATGTGCTTTCCTGTAGCAACAGTGTTTAAATGAGGCATTAAGTTTATTTTACTCATTAACTCTTGCTCTCTGTGCTTCGTAAGTTTTCTACTCCAATGCTCGTTTTAATCGTTACTGCAAAACCTCAACCAAAAACTTGGTTTACTTTAAACGAAAGTTAGCTGCCTACAACTATCATAATGGCAACAGTACACATATAAATGGCCGCCGCTCCGACCATCCTGCTACATTGATTTGAATGAGAAAGCCCCTTCTACTCCTAATCTATTTTTTGGTAAACACATACTTTCCATTTGTGATTTAAAAAAAAAATGCTTTCAAATCCCCAACATTTGTTAATGAATGAGAATGAATGATGGATTGAAATAGTCGAACAGATCCTTGGTTGGAAGAAACAGTAAATAATGTGCATTTGAAATACACTAAGGGAACACCAGCATTATTTAAAAGCAGTACAGCATTCATAACTCAGAGGTGGTTTAAAGAATGTGAGTCTTATGATGCTGAGGAGTAATTTCCATACCAATTATCTCTCATAGCCCGGCTTTTATCACTACCAAGCATACTATGAAAATACTCTTATGGTTGCCATAGCAGCATGAGGGATATAGTCCTTTTTCAGTTGTGGATGAGATTAGTTGGAATAGCTTCAATTACAGATCTCTGTCCTTTCTGTTAGAAAGGAATTCATTGGTGTATCAGCCACAGAGCCTTCTTTCAGAGCATCAAGCCCCTCCTTTAATCCAGCAGGCGGCTGGCCCTCTGAAGAGCTTGTTATCTTGTGTTGTGTGTACAGTGTCAGTGTGTGTGTGTGTGTGTACTTGTGTACAGTTAGAGACACAGCCTTGCAGGGCTCAGTGAGCTGGAAATGCAAAAGGGCAGAAAAATGTTGGCTGCGTGGTGTGTCTGTAATGTTGAGGGGTTTGATGAGCCGTTAAATATGTATAGTAGACTGAACACAGTTGGGGAGGTGGAAACTATCATCTGTTTATTTATTTTATAAGAACGGAAAGTAGGTTCAAATTGATATATGAAAGATATATAAATCAAAAAGATAAATTATTGGAGATTAAAATGTTAAAAGGTAAGATCATATTCCATAACTTCTCTAACGTCAACAAATCCCATGAAAAGAAAAATAGTTGTGTGTATCAATGTGGGATTGACACCGTCCTGAAATACACAAATATTCACCAAAACAACAAATGTGTATTAATCCGCCACTAAACATAGTCCCCCAAAAAGCAGTATTTCTCGCTGTTTAAGAAAATTACTGAACCCTCTTTTTAAGATTATGTGTTTCAACAATTATTCATAGTGATCCATTGTTTTGACATTAAGAAAACTATAGAATAACACCAGTTTTATCCTGCTTCAGAGCAAAAAAAGGATTCTGGGTAAATGGCTCAATATTAAGTAGCTTTTTACATTTGAAAATGGTAATGTTGATCATTGGTTTAAAACACACATATTCAAATATCAGTTTATAACTGATGAATAAACATAGCGGGATAAAGCAAAGCAGCAGTTTATCACAACTGGGGTTGTTGTTACCATTTATTGTATTAGTTATGAGGATATTTACTCACCATGGTAAATGCTGAGATAATCAACTGTACCTGCACTGGTTGATCCAGGAAGTCAGCTCTGATGGATGCTCAGGGACAGTTTTACTGTTTGCCTTTTTTGTCACTTCCAAATAAGTCTGTGTACAATCTATCATCTGACTGCTTGTGTCTCCACATTGGACGCATTTTAGTAATCTCAATATTCATAAGGTCATAAGGTTATCACAGCTGACTGAACCAATTGACAGAGCTTCAAATAGAAATCAAAGATGTAATAAACGTTTTCTTGTATTTTTTACTACCTATGAGTCTTTAGCCAATCAGCATCCTTGTGTGGACTCAGGGATCTGTGATTGCAGTGTTTGCTGTAAATACTGGGGATCATAAAAATGACTGAAATTTCTTAAACTCCACTGTAATTGGAGGGAATGGCTTTGTTTTTGTCGAATCACAGATATATCTGATTCTGTTTGTGTCTATAAACACACATAGGAGTCACTATTTCCCTGTCACTGGGGTTGGTGAAATGTTCATTTAAGAGCAGTATGTAATGACATGTAGGAGGATGGATGATAAGGTGCATCTGGGTTAATGTTGAGCTAATTTCCCATAAACTCTTGAACCTTACATTTTCTCTTATGTCACTTTAAAGTTAGTAAAACATTGTCTCTACACGGTGAGACAACTTTACTGACACAAATGTTTCAGTGAAGCTACAGTGTATGATGACTTACACACAAACCAAAGATATCGTGTTTTTCATGGCTGCTACTGGACATATTGGAAACTAAATCCATTTTTTATGGCTTTGTCAGCTTACATGAGCTGGGTTTCAAGAGGTATGCTGGTGGCCTCCCTTCCTCTTGAGTTGTAATACTGTAACACAAGAAATTGGTATATTGATCTCTAGGAAAGCTTCCTCTAAATCGTTATATCGAACTATTAAAAACCCATGTTGTCTAAAGAGCACACAACGCTGTGTGTATGTGTGTGTGTGTGTGTGTGTGCATTATCTGTGCACAGCCTTATTATCACTGTAACCTTCTCTCTGCCTGTCCCCTCCCCCCACAGTGAAGCAGCCCCCCACCATAGTCAAACAGTCAGTGAAGGACTACATTGTCGACCCCAGAGATAACATCATCATCGAGTGTGAGGCCAAGGGCAACCCAGTGCCAACGTAAGCAGTACACACACACACACACCCACCACCCACACACACACACACACACACACACTGCCCTCACAACACGCTCACACACATGTGTCCTCTGCTCTTTGTTTGGAGTTTTATGAAATACATCAGTTGTAGAGACACAAGCAGATAATAAGTAGAAGGAGGTAGAAAACATATTTAAAATGTATTTTTGAATAAAGATTCAATTTACTACAAGACTGCATAGTCTGAACATTAAAATTCACCTCCAATACAATGGAGGTGAATTAAGGTAAATTTGACATTAAAAAAGAAAATTAAAAGCCTCTGTCCTAAAAAAGTGTCCCCATAATTCCCCAGGTGTAGAATCGGTGGTTCACAGACCAATGGGTGATGTCATGGTGACTTTGTACATATTATATATACAGCTATGGTTTATTAAATGGATGTTCATACACAAGTCCACACGTTACCACGGTTGCAATTGCGACAATACATATAAAATGGCCGCTGCTCTGACCATCCTATTCCCTTTCTATAGTCCTTCCATTACCTCCATCACTCTGTCAGGCCTCCACGTACCAGCAGCTCTCTCTGTCATACCGTACTTTCTTTTGTAGTTGTTTTCTGGAAAACTATGTGCTGTGTTTTGTCTCTTCTCTCTTTCCTACAGTCTTATCTGCCCTTGTAGGCTAACTTGAACTTTTAACTAAATGTTAAAATGTGGTCATCAAAACACAGTTGACACCAAGTCTCAAGTGGTCTGATACAATGTTTTTTCTCTCTCCATACACACCTGGCATCAAAGTACTTTCACATCTGAGACAAATGTGGTATGTTAATGGTATTTTTATGATGTACATTCAAATCACACACACACACACACACACACACACACACTGAGTCGCCAGTGGTTACATCACTGGGGGTATGACCAGCTCAGGACAGTGGTACATTGTTTATTTGGAGACAGATTGGCTTTACGTAAGACACACACACACACACACACACACACACACACACACACACACACACA